TAACGCCCCTGCACCGGGCACACGGCAGCCTCTCCCTAGACGGCTGTTAGACGCCTTACACACGCAGGTTCCCGTAGCAGCTCTCTACCAGATACCACAGTGCGTCTGCAACATCTTCCGTCTCAACAGCTACTCCTGATGCACTTACCTCACTGCTCCTCGAGACGCTCGCTCTAGCTTTGGTGCAGCTGGTCACTTCTAACTATTGTTACTGTGAAATCAAGTTCATATTTTATGGCAAGACAAGAACAATTCAAACGTGAACACATCTCCTCTGCCCTCTGGCCCCCGCTCTCCCCCTTACCGTGCAGGGCGTATCTGCATTTTACATGGGCCAAACCTCTGTCGGCAGGAACACCTGCTCAGCCACGAAGAGCAGCGTTCTCCCAGCACCAACAAGACAGCGCCTTAAAGATAAACTTCCTTCTTGATGGGGCCACGATGACGCTCAGACGTGGCTTGTGTGACCTGTCAATAAGACGTCATTTCGCGTACAGCCTTGTGTCTCAAAAACTTATGCTACCGTGCCGTGACCTCTAACGGGTGGAACAGTTCTTGGAGCTTGCTGAGATGTTCTTCCAGGTTATAATCCTCAAATCTGGCTCAAATAAAATTCTCCACTTCTTTCTGAGATCAACTGACTAATTTTTGTCAACATCACCAATTGAAGTCACGGTCTGAGGTTTCTGTCTGCCGCTCATCTGCATCCTGAGCATCTAGACCCTGCCCCGGGAGCTCTCCCTCATGGTGCCTCTCCCTCTCCAGTGTTCACAGTGTTCTGTGTGAGTTTGTCTCTGGTGGGGACTGTTGTACAGAAATCCCTTGGACCCCAGGTTGAAGATGTGTTTATCTTCAAGGTATCTTTGAATTTGTTTGTGCCATGATGGCCCCAAAATTTTAAGAGTACAGACCTACTTCCTATGTTAAATTCTTGGCTTGGGATTTCCAAACTATATGGGTAGTAAAAATATCCCATAAAAGATTTTTCTGACAACAAAGACTAATGTATAACACAGGAAACTGTATTCAATATCTTGTAATAACCTATAATGGAGAAGAATCTCAGAAAGAATATATAAACATATTCTTTAAAAAAATATATAGTCTTTTTTTTTAGGTAAGAAGTGGATTGACTGATTGATTGATTAATTTTTGGGTTGCGTTCTGTTTTTGTTGCTGTGCACGGGCTTTCTCGAGTTGCGGTGAGCGGGGTCTACTCTTCGTTGCGGCGCGCAGGCTTCTCATTGTGGTGGCTTCTCTTGTTGCGGAGCATGGGCTCTAGGCACGTGGCCTCCAGTAGTTTTGGCGTGCAGGTTCAGTAGCTGTGGCTCACGGGCTCTAGAGCGCAGGCTCAGTAGCTGTGGTGCACGGGCTCAGCTGCTTCGTGGCATGTGGGATCTTCCTGGACCAGGGCTCGAACCCGTGTCCCCTGCATTGGCAGGCGGATTCTTAACCACCGTGCCACCAGGGAAGCCCCTATATATATATTCTTAAGAAAAAAACCTGCCTGGACTCTTGACACATCTTTGGACCGTGGGCAAAGAACTGGGCAGCCCTTTGAGAATTCCAGCTCTACACAGGCTGTTGGTGATGGATCCAAGCCTAGTCAGGTCCACAGCCACGCGTCTTACATCCACACACGGCACTAAACCAGAGCCTCCAGACTCTAGGTCTCATACCACCCTGGGCCACTCAGACGATTCTGGCTTTTGGGGTCTCTTCATTTTTGTCAGCTGGGAGTTCCCTTTCATTCTTCTGAACTGAGCCACCCTTCTGTCTGTTTATAATAGGAGCAGGGCCCTTGTGGGCCTGTCTGCCGTGCTGCTGGAACCACCTCCTAAACAAACGTTGAGCACATTCACCCTTTTCCGTCTCTTCCAACGACCACCTCAGTGCCAGCTACTGGTCTTCACGCTCGCTCCTCTGCAGTGGTCTCCTAACTGGTCCTCTCACATCCATTCCTGCCCATTCTTCCCCTGTCCACTTCGTATGTTATTACATACCAGAGTTTAAAAGGCAGAATTTTTAAAAACGTTAAGTCACGTCAACTTTTTTTGTGTGTGTCTCAAATCTTCTACTGACAGATGACCCAGAAATTCTACTCCTAGGTACACACCCAAGAGAAATGAAAACATGTTCACAAAAAAACTTGTACATGAATGTTTATAATAACATGCTTCAAACAGCTGAAAGGTGGAGACAACCCAAATGTCCCCCAACCTATGAATGGCACACAAAGTGCAGTATATCCACGTAATGAAACAGTATCCGGCCATGGAAAGAATAAAGTACTGATGCACGCTACAACACAGATGAATCTTGAAAACGCCGCTGAGGGAAAGGAGCCAGTCACCGAAGACCACATGCTGATTCCATTTAGATGAAACCTCCAGAGCAGGCAACTTGACGGAAACAGAAAGTAGATGAGCGGTTGCTTAGGCCCCGGGGGAAGGGGTAGACGGGGTGGCGACAGCTAAAGGGTGCGGGATTTCTTTTTAAGGTGATGAAAATGCTCTGAAGTTGACTGTGGTGCTGGCTGCGTTGAACCGGTGAATTACGTGCTGTGTGAAGCACATCTCTGCAAAGCAGTTCAAAAAACTCTTCCGGCGGCTCACCATGGCTCTCGGCACATAAACCCACAACCTCCTGGCTGGGGGTGAGACTGCATCGCGGAGCCCTGCCTGCGCCGCGGGCTCAAATGTTAACCACTTTATGAAACGTTTTGTGTTCCCACTGGCAGTTAATTATTCCCACTTATACCTTAGCACACGATAGTGATTTTATTTGATTACGTGGGTTTTCCTCTTTTCAGTCTATAAGCTTTCTGAGGACCAGGTCTCACCCATCACTGAATTATCATGAATGGGATGTGCTCAATATGTTGAATGAATGATTGACAGAGGAGGGAAAGAATGAATTAAGTATAGGTGAGAGTAGTTTAGGGCATTTAAGACATTTAGAAGCGTGAAGGCAAAAATTTCATAAGAACGGGGATCTTGTATGCCTGAACCCTTCCCTCCCCCACTTCATAGTCGGTGCTGGGCACAGCAGGCGGATCTTCTGTAAAGCACCGCGCACAGCATCTGTCACAAGTGTAAATACCGTCGCTCCTCTTCACTAGCGTATGCACTTCGCAGCGGCTCAGACCATATACTCATCAGCTCATGGCTGTGCGGTCTGGGCTTGTCACAGTACTTGGCAACAGCAGGTGCTCAGCAAATTCTGGAAGGAATAAACGCTGCTACAGACCAAGTGACTGAGTCCAACAGCTCTCTATCTAATACCCTCCCAGCTATTTATCTTGTGCCAGCTATTTATTTATTTCATTATCTATTAATTATTATTCATCTAACGAACATCTATACCCATTTTGTGCCATCGCTAAAGTGCACTCATCTTGATGTACCACATTCGTATTACAGTTCATTCATATCTTGACCTAATTCTTGTATTCTAACATTTGCTGCTCCTTGAGGAAATACATCCTAGTTCTATAAAACATGTGGCACACGGCTGGTACTCAATAAATATTTGTGGCTTGAATAAAACTTCTAAAACAAGAATCACAATCTGTAGCAGGTTACTGATCACAGGTTATAAAATTCCCAGAAGACAGTAATCGTTTCTCTAGATTTCTCTAAATAATGGTTCATGCAACTAACTAAATATTTAATAATGCAGTTTGATAAAGAACCTGGTTTACGCATCCTTCCAGGGATCGTGATCTTAATGATGAATTTAACTCATTTCACTTGTCTCAGCTCAGAAGGAGTTTTTAAAGGGAGTTTTCTTCCCCAGCTAATGAAAGACTGCTTTCGCATTTAGTTTCTAGATGAAACTAACAGTATCTGAGTAACGTCTGAGCTATGAAACACATAGACGTTAAATACTGAAGATTGATTTATTAAAACTTTCCTGGCTGGAAGCCTATTAAAAGATGACAACTGTTAGCTCTGCAATCTGTTAGCCCAGAAAATGGAATTTCTTCAAGTTTTACATAAAGAAATGAAAAAAGAAAGGGAGGAAAGGAAGAAAAACACTCTTTTTCAACTTAACATCTTCCTCCTGTTTCTTCTCAAGATGCGTGTCTTAGAGCTATCTTTATAATAAACGAACGTCTAAAACGTTTAACTCATTGTACCTTGTGGCTGGAAAGACACGCGGCCTTGTTACACATATAGACACACTCGGAAATATACACCTCCTCCCCTTGGATATTCAACATAAAATGAAGTCAAAGTGAAATCTAAATTTTGGTAAGATTTGACCTCTTTTTCTAGTCTGAAAAAAGGGATAATTACGGCTTCAGTCTTTATGTAGATCTGAAACTCCCAAATGGAATGCATTCTATTTTTACCACTTCTTCTAGTGGAAGAAAATGGCCTGTTCTCCTTGGTCACACCTCCCATGGTCTCTTAGTCCTGACGCTCAGAAGGCTCTCTTAGCTTCTGCCTTAGATCTCTCTGAGGTCAGCTCACGGTTGCCCCCACCATCCCTCCAAGGAGCCTGCAGAACAGTTGGCCACCGTCCCTATACAGTATCATCATGTGCCATCCACTTCCTTTTCTGGTATTCGTCTCAAATTAATCAAAACTGTACATCCCAGCTCTGTTTCTCTGAGCCTTTTATCATACCACACGGCTTTTCTCTGCTGCCAGAAGTCGTCGTGGACCACCCAGAGCCAAACCAAAGATGCTTCTCTCTGCTCAGGTGCTCCATCACAAAAGGGGGAAACAGGGCCTGACAGTGATCTCTCTCGTAAGACAAACAGAAAGAAGAAATGCCCGTAGATCCATAACAGAAGAAGTACCTACGTTAAATAATCAGAAAGAATTAAGATCTCCACCAAAAATCTCCCAGAGGCGAAAGAGAAAACCCAAGCTGTAACATGAAGACTCGTTTTCACAGAAGTGTGTGCGACTGGGGGAGACACTTCACGCCCACCCCTCTACCTACTACCTGTAAGCAGAACCCCACAAGTGACATCAGTCGTAACACACCTCCTCCTCTCCCTGGTTTCCACAGAGGAGTCCGTTCCAGGAGTGGAGAGCAGAGCGGCAGCTGCAACCCCATTGGCAGTGCTAGGTGGGGGGCGATTCGTGATCACACAGAGGGGGGTGCCGCAAGAGACACTGTCTACTGTTCTCTCCGCTGCGGAGTCAGCCTGGGATTTGTAAGGAGGCCTGAAATAAAAAGGACACAAGCAGAAAGAGAACGGTCAGGCACACACACGACAACGCAGTGGTAGAGACAGAGCTTCGAGGTGTGTTTACCCAGAGAATCTTCTCGCTCGGAATTAGTCTGGGGTTGGTCTGCTTTCTTAATTCTGAGCTCTTAAACCTTAGAACAGTGATTACGCTTTCCGTCTGATACCTTCTGCCCAAGCAGTTATGTTTTACGGAAAATATTTTTTACTTGAGATTAGAAAAAAAATTTTTTTTGATTAGCTATGGCACAAGGCAAGATAGTGACACATGCAAGAGAGCTCTGAATGAGTCCTGAGCACCATCTGGTCTCCACACACACACAACAGACACTGAAGTCACTTACGATCACGTCACTGCCCTTCAGTCCCGGGCAGTGAGCGCCTGCGGTGGCCTCACAGCGGACGGCCGTCCTCCTGGATCACCCAGACACACTCGACAGACACTCCGCAACCTCACCTAGCTCAGCAACTGCTCTCTTTCCACGGAACCAAGTGCCTGATTGTCCGTATTCATAACTGCAGACAGCAGAGACTGAAACCAAAACTAACAGGATTCTACATGCAACCTTAACTACAGACTTTCCAACAGCAAGCTGTACAATTACATTCATTTACATGAAAGCAAGACCTTTGTTTCTTAACAAAGAGTTGAGATCAACCATTGGCTTTCCACCCAAAAAGCTATCATTTGTGATGTCACAGCTTGTTGCTGGGGTAACAGAGATCCAAAATTGATACTCACAAAGATGGAGAAAGAAATGAAAATAATGAATGCTAAAAATCTGTTTTTTTTTTCACCTACTGAGAATTACCAGAATGCTTATAAGTAGCTATAAGCTCATTTTCAAATAATCACATTATTATAATAAGCTTGAAAGAATTAATCAGATCATAAAAACCTAAATATGGTACCTAGATGCCAGTATAAAATTAGAACAGTTTTGAAGTGGTATCTAAAAAATACAAGCCACTTCTCCAGAAGCAATTAATAGCTCAGAAAAAAGGTGAAATTTTACATTCATTTTTTAATTTAAAAAATGAAGGCAAATAATTCCTCAGACTTACAAGATGTATGAGCCTATAGGAAGCACTAATAAAATCAGCCAGGAACAAAGCTATAAAATAATTACACTTATCGAAACCTTACATGGAATTCCTTTTAGCTTAATAACATGCTTCGGTCTCTGCAATTTCTTATGCTGGAGAAATGCCAAGGATTTTATTTGTCAAGTTACAGAATAGGATTCTTACTATTATTTTGAAATATATAATTTTACAAGTAGGTTGTTAGGATCAGAACAGAAAAGGCTCCAGAGCAGGGATTGGAGGCTCTGGAACCACCTGGGGCTGAGTGTAACCTCTCCGATCTCTTCCCTGTAAAATGGGGATAATGCTGCCTTGAAGTGCAGGGATCTTGTGATGATTAAATCAAATAATGTCTGTGGAACACTCAGTATAGTGCCCACAATAAAAGATAAACTCAGTGGAAAGAAAATAGTGAAAAAGAAAAGAGCCCCAAAACGCACAAATCTAGGCTCCAATCCTGCCTTGGTTGTTCCTTCCTGGCCAAGTGACCTCGGGCAAATCATTACAGTTTTGGCCTCAGCTTCCTCATCCATAAAATGAGGATCATGTTCCATACACTGGAGGGCTCTTTAGGACTATATGTAACACAGCCAGCTGCCTCACCCATGTTCATGTTCCTTTCCCTCCTTACTAACAGGACCCTATTATTCAAGGCATCAATGTGCCTAGCTAAAAATCCATACTTTTCACAGTCTCCCTGGTCGCTAGAGGTGGCCAGGGAGACACGAGCAGAAGATCAGTGCGTCTGGGGAAATTCTCAGTTCAGAGGCATTCCCTCCTCGCATACTTCCCCCTTTCCTCCTCCTCCCTGCCTAGAATACAGCCGTGATGGCTAGAACTCTAGCAGCTATTTTGGACCATTAGGCAACCCATGGAAATGGAAGCCACGATCTAAACATTGTGAAGCGGAAAGACAGAAGGAACACAGACCCTTTGGTGGCTCTGGAGCTATGTGCCAGCACTGCCTATTTCTGGACTGTCTTAACTGAGAGAAAAAAAATAAACCTTTAAGATAAACCTAGTCAGTATTATTTGGATACACTGTTATATGTGAGTAAAGCAAGCCCTGATGTAATTCTGTACTGTACGAGCCCCATGCCTGGCACACGCTGGGGTTCAACAAAGGGTGGCCATTACCATTCTTCCCCAGGCCTCGTTCTGAATTAATCAGTAGCCTCTCTGTGCTTCAGTGTCTCCATCTGTGGGGCTAACGTTAACCATGCCTGTGCAAATGGATTGTTATGGGGCCTAGTAAGTGTATAAATAATCATACAGTATTGTTAGAAGCGGTCCATCATAAGCCACCCAACCTGGCCAAACAAATGAGCCCCACTTTTGTCAGGAAAGGAAACCCAGCGACCAGTCGGGCACCAGTCGGGCACCAGCACCAGCCGTGTCCTTGCTGCAACACTGGCCTCAATGACATTTTTCCTTTTCTTTGTGTCAGCTGTAGAAACAAGACCCAGTGGAGGAGCCCCTGTGCTGCACCCAAAGGAAAATATCTCTGACCACATTCACAACCACAGCTGAAGTTCTGCCCCAGGTTCACACGACACTCTGCCCGTGCCACCCCTCGGATGAGCTAGAAACCAAGAAGGTGTCAGCCGGCCACAGAGTGGAGACAAACACACATCTCCTCCTTCCCACAGTGGGTGTCGCAAAACACTCACTGCTGGAAGTTCTCAGAAGGGGGCTGTAGGAGGCTTCCAGGACAAGAATTAGCGTCCCTTTCGATTTGGGTTGAACGCCATCTTCCAAAAAGAGTAAACAGAAGAGATCCCTCCTGATACTTCCTGGGAAATTGGTATAAATGACATGTGGGCTGTTTGTAACACGTGATTTAGCACAATAGCCGGGCCCTTAACGTTGTAACCCAGCTGGGAGAGCTACCAGGAGGCAAGGCCTAAGCATGCCCTACGGTTACCTGACAAGCAGCTGCTGCCTGGCCGACACAGGTCAGAGCAAAAGCGTCCTCACTGACTCAGGGACACTCTCCAGGAGTCCGGAGTCTCCTGGCTGGAGCCTCCAGATGTGACTCCAGCGGCCCCCAGCAGCCTTACCTGCGTGGTGCACAGATGCAGCAGTGTCTGCACTGAGTGGAGCGGGGGAGCAGGCGGTGGGCTGCCACCTGCCGCCCCAGAGCTGGAGGACCCAATGGTAATGAGTGAGGCAGCAGGAGGTGGGTTGTGATTGGCTGAGAGGTAGGGGCTTGAGGGGCCACTACGTCCACCACAGGACGCACTGCAAAACAGCACACGGTCACTTCCTTCAGGACACGCTGCTCGCCCCGCGCCCAGCACGACCTCCCCACCCAGACTATGCGCTTAAAGGAGGTGGATGGAGAGAGGGCACGACAGCTGGGAAGCGGAGGGGCCCAGCCCGGCTCGAGCGGGGGGGCCCCCGGCAGCACGCAGGCCTCTGTCCATCACCCCACAGAGGGAAGGCGCGGGGAGGAGGAGAGATGAAGAGCAACAGGAGGGAGCGGAGCGCACGGATGGAGTGGGGCTGGGGGAGGGGATAGACAGGCGGCAGAGGCAGCGCGCTGGAAAGAACTCCAACACCCCCGACAACGTCACGCAACCCCAGCTGCTTCCCGGAGACAGAAGCAACACTGCAAAAGCTAAAGTGAGCCCGAGAATCTGCAGAGGGTTTGGAGCAGAGACTCAGGATTAAAGAGTAGAAAAGAGGACAGAGGCCAAAACTCCTTGGGAGGATTTCAAGGTTTAGGTCTAGCAAGTAATACTGTACAGGCAACAGAGGACAGCTTTCCCCTGTCTCAGCTGAAGACAGGTAGGAACCATCTCAACTGCGGCAAAAAATTATTTGGATTAGAATTTTTAAAAAAACTTCTTGACTATAATGGTAATGAAACACGTGAGGCGGGGGTGACCCAGAAAAGCCAGGAAGACTTCTTTGACAAAAGATGCATTTTACTGGGCTGTTATAAAAGGAATTTCTGCCTAAAAAATGAGGAGACTGAAAATGGAAAGTTTCTGAGGTTTGGCATAGTCCAAGAATGACAAATGTCTATCCACACTTTCTGTTTGAAACAGTGATTGTGTATGATTCTTTCCTTGTGAGAGATCGTAAACTAAGATTTGTAAAATAAAAAAGTGCTTTAGGATTACAGAAGAAAAGCTTTGGAAGTCCAAGGTATAGAGCAAGCTGCAGATATTTTCTCAAACATGCTCACATAATTAAGCACGCTTCCCACCCTAAAGACAAGTGTCCCCTCTCCTCTGTTCACCATGATTATGCCAAACGACATCTATGAAACCAAACACTACTCACTCCATCCATCTGCTGATGACTTGGATCCAGAAAGCCACCAACCCTACCACAAAATAACACCAGGCCTCAACATTAAAGATGAAGGCGGCACCTTCATCTTTCCTAAGTTCTAGAACATTCTTTTCTTAGAGAAGTTTTTCTTGGTCCTGGTTTCAGCTTGGATCCAGCTATAAGGAGTAATAAGTTATCTATTCAGACTAAGGCCTCACCCTCGAAGACAAACAGGCAACAGCCTCATTAAAGCCAAAAACACTGAGGCTGTAGGACGAAGCTTCAGTGGCATCAATGAATTGTACCTGCTCCCTTTCAAAGTTGAGCCCTCTCTTACAGGACGTATCTGCAGAACTGAAGGGCATTAAAAGGTGACAGTGGCTGTTTGATTTATGGCACAGTCCCCACATTCCGACATTAACTGGTTGACGAGATTATTCCTATCAAGTGAAAATAGGTTTTGATCCCAAACACACAGTCTGTGGCCAAAGCCTGTGCCTAGGGTAGCCAAGAGTCACCTAAAAACCTACCGATGAAAGCTGTGGCATGACGAGGCAGTTGGAGGGGTTTGGTTGAGAGAGTACAAGTGAAGAAAGAATTCAGAGGAAGCAATGAGAATCAGATTCCTCCACATCAGCCGCAAAGTTCAAATGGAAATATTAATTAAGTGTGTCTTATAGCTTAACGGCTCTGGCAAAGGTGCTTTGCTTGCTGGCTGGTACATGGCAAAGAAGATAACTGCAGAAAGGGGTATACAGATGAGAAAAGGGGAGGGAAACCCAGGTACCTTCTCTGCACCAGACTTGCGAGTTTCATATCTTGATGGATCTGAGGGCCATTAAAGTCATAAAAAAAAAAACAACAACTCAAGTCCCTAAATTAACAGGCTTCAATATGAAATATTTTTTAATGCAGTTAACATCTGTCCCCATCCTGCCCCCGCTACACCCTACAGGCCCCTCCCTGCCTCCCCCGCAAAGCGTGACTTGAGCTGAGGAAGGAGAGCTGGCTACCGGGCAAGGGCGACTTAAATTCAGTCCTGCTCAGAGTCTACCCGAAGTCATATCTGGCTGAAGATTTTACAGGACTGAAAGGACGGAGTATATATTCAGATCTGTCTGTGGGGAGAACTTGGAATTAGCTTACTCTGATTCAGTTAGGTAAAGAAATGAACTCTGATTTAAAATTACTTAAGATGTTACTCCCAAGAAATCTAAAAGCAATTCAGTTCTCGATTCGTTTTTGTGGTGCTAACTGGGTACAAAAAGGCATGCAATTTATTGCCCATCTGCCCACGGCCAGAGTGAAGGAAACCACCTCCCAGCCTTGGAGCCTGGTACCTTTTCAGGTAGGTTGTCACGTAGGTGGAAGGGGTGGCCGTCTGCAGAGATTCGCTCCCCTCCGCTCCGTCCCTCCGCAGCTGGCGGGCGGGGGGGCCGCTCCGCACCAGGTGAGCAGCCGACTCTCTGTGGATGCAGGACAGACACAAAACAAAACACTGGCCCCGCCCTCGGCATAAACTGGGAGGGGGGGGGGCGCAGGCGCGGCTGCAGAGACAGCAATGGGGCCCTTTTCAAGAGATAGGTGTTCATACACCTGTCTCCCCACACAGATGGGGGACTGGTTAAGGCTTCGGGTCTGCCTCCTTTTAGCAACTTCAAAGCCAACCCATCTCAGTAGGTACCAAGTGCTTGTGGTGCGGATCTGGAGCCCTTTCGTAAGGAGGGGCCCCTTCGTTCCTCAGTTAGAAAGCCTGGCAGGTCAGCCTGGTGTGGGCCGCTCAGAGCAAGCAGAGGCGGGACGGGGGAGGCAGAGAGGACGTGCGTGCAAGTGAAGGAGGCTCCTCAGCTTCCTACACAGGCGACGCCCAGGAACGGCCCTGGCACCTCTTCCTAACCACAGCTGGTAACCCGGGGAGGTCCCCCAGGGCAGTCCTTCCCAAACTTTAACGTGCCTTTCAACCACCGAGGGGACTTTGTGCGAGCGCCCACCTGCTTCAGCAGGTCCGGGCGGGACTGAGACTCTGTACTGCTAACGGGCTTCCAGTGGCCCCGGTGCTGCTGGCTGGAGGACCGCACCTTGAGAAGCAAGGCTCTAGCCCAGGCTCTGCTCTGAGATGCAGCAATGCCTCAACATTCCCATATTCATTTTTAACTGATGAGGAAGACTTTACTTACAGGTTAGAAGCTGATCAATTCAATTAAATAACCACATTTTTAGTGTTCCCCAGGGGACAGGCCCTGTCCTGGCACGAGGAGCGCCTGAACCGCCGGTGGACACAGACCCCACGTGCACAGAGCCAGCTGTGGACTGAAGCGGACCCACACGGGGGAGCCGAGCTGACGGCACGGCAGCGGCAAGGCGCGGGCGGAGGGCTGGGGCCCCGGGCGGGAGGGCGGCCGTGGGCCCCGGGGCCAGTACCTGTTCTCCTTCTCCTCCAGGCCGCCGGCGGCGCTCAGCCTCCGCAGCCCCAGTGCTGCGCTGCAAGAGCTTCTGCTTCCTCGCTCCTGTAAAATCCAAACACGGGACGCACAGGGAAGGCAGAGTTCTGATACAGTGTAAAACACTTGGGGTAAAAAAGCAGAACTTAACATACCTATATAATCTTACTTCCAGATTCAATACCAATTCCAGCTTGAGTGGTGTTAAAAAAGGTTAGCATTCAAAGGCCCATTCCCAACCCTCCTCCGTTAAAAACCAACATGCAGGGAAATAATTCTCATGGGAAGAGCCAGGGCCATGAAACCGGGAAGAGCAGCACCAATCACACCAAGCAGCAGCCCTGCAGAGACAGGGAGCTTTTGAAAGGCCACAGATAGCAACTGCACTCTGGAGCTCTTTTCCTCGAAATGCAGCCTCAGGCACAAATGGGCCCCAGAGCTAATCCAGCCCACGCACCTCGGGCCCGAGTGCCTCCGGAAACCCAGGACCGAGGGGTCTGTGGTTAAAGGAGACCCAGCCCCAGGGAGGTGCACCACGCGAGCCCCGTGAACCCTGAAACCAGAGTGAAGACACAGAAACGTGCTCCTTCTGGATGAACAGTAGATGAGAAGGTAGCCGGATCATACATCAATTAATGAAAAAAGGAGACACCAGAATTTGTTTTTCTAAGTGCCACTCTGCCTGAGCCTCATTAGGATTGAAAGCCCAACCAAGGAACTCTGCTTCTAAACATAAAAAGAATAAATTACTGTTACTGGTTCAGAGGAACCTTTTAGGCCGTATCCAAATCTTCATCCTTCTAACCCACTTTTTTGCCCCAGGTAAGGAGGGTAAGGAAGAATGAACAGAAGGTATATGCCAAAAGGAAAAGGGGTTTCTTTCTTTCTTGGCCAAGCAAGTACTAGCAAGCAAATAGCTACATGATTAATCAACGTGCCTGTCTCCTTTTAAAGACTCTGTACTTCCAGAATCAAATTAGGGACTAGAAAATGTTTTCCTTTGCTCCTGAGGTTGAATTGTCACAGAAGGAAACTGCACCTTTTCTCTGTTGTCCAGCACAGTGGAGATGCGGGGGCTGGAGGCCGAGCGGTGGATGAACGCGCCCCGGTCCCGCAGGGCCTCCCTGGACCTGGCCGCCTCGCTCAGCACGTTCTGGCTGCCGGTCTTCCTGAGGCCCAGCCTCCACGAAGACGGAGACTCATCTCTGGGCTCTTCCGGCTTGTTGAAAAGGCCAGAGAACTACGAGGGACGGACGAAGCAAAGGAAAGGAAGGGCCTGATGGGTCTTTCCGTCCCCAGCTGAGCTCCGTGGGGCGATGTGGGGCGGAGCAGGGAGGAGCACGCGGCAGGCCAGGCCCTCGCAGGGCTCCCTTTCTCCTGGGCCAGAGAAGCCTAAGAAGCTCCCACCTGGCAGAGCTGCTCGAGGAGTACGACAGTGGGCTGAGTGCTGACCCAGGCTTGGTGACACGCCCCCTCCTGTCCGCTGTGTGCCTGGGGACAGGACACCTCACCTCTCCAGGCTTCAACGTGCCCATCTGCAACCCTGGCAAAGACCTTACCCCTCTTATAACACATGGACACTGGGAAACACAGGGTGGGCCAAGGTGTCGCTATGTTTCAAGGTCCTGTGATGAGACTGCGGTAAGCTGATGGAAGGTAACAGGCACACAGATGCTAAAGGCCACTCCACTCAAATTCTAACTGCTTATTTCAAGACGATGGTTTATTTGACCAAGGGCAGCAGTTCTAAGCATTTCAGATTTCAGCGAGCAGCAAAATTAAAAAAGAAAAAAAAATGGTACAAGTCACAGAGTTGCCAGTTTTTCAATTTTGCCAGAACAGCTTTCAGAAATGGATTACCATTTCCAGTACCATCATTTCATTAAAAAAAGAGAGAGACAGAAGTAATTTTAACATTAGAAAAGAAAGCTTCATGGAAAGCTTCCATTGTCCTTAACCATCTCATCCTGCTATAAACCACAGAAAACATCACAGACTAGTGCCAGCCTGAAGGCCAGGCTGGGGCACATCTGGTCTACAGACCATCAGCCGTGGGCCTCTTCCTCGGCCGTGGGGGGCTCTGCTAGAAGCGTCGGTCTTTCTCCAGAACCAGGCCACCTCTACCGCCTGGCATAGTGAAAACGCAATAGCAATGTAAAACCATGCTTAGATTTTTCTCTCTTACCCGATCATCTGAATGGATACATTTACGTACTCCTTCCAGCTTCAGAGAATCAATCCTGTCAGCTCCTTATGAGCCACCCTGGCTCTGAGGGGAGAAATGTCTCCCCCGCATTCTTTCAGCAAAGTGGAATAAGTATGGGTGTGCGCTTGTCTCTTTTTAAATTTAGGACTTTTTCCTCTTAAGAAAGCAGGCGATTCAGTCACGCGCAGAAGCACGGGGAGTGCTCAGGACTGAGAGGCTGGACGCTCCCAGGAGCCAGTGCGCAGCTGAGCCTCTGCTGCCTCGTCTCCACAAGGACACCAGAATGCCACCTGCACATTCACGAGGCTCTGGGAAGATCAGTAAGTTAGCATCTGCAGAAGTACAGAGCTGTCCAAGAGCTGCGCTCCAAAGAGCTCGGGCCCGTTCTCCTCAACATCAATCCCACACACTGCGGAGCCACGGCATCGCCGGCGAGGAGCCGGCAGCTTCTGAGCAGCCTGGGGAGGCTGCCGGAGGCACTCATGCATTTCAACAAGTGCTTTCAACCTCCGCTCTCCACTCATCATCGACTATAAGCACTTAAACTCAGGAAAGTAAAATGGAACATGAGAAGTAAAAAAAGAAGAGCAGTCATCAGAACAATCGAGGCTGGATGCTGGCTATCTTCCCAGCCCAACTGAACTTCACATACGCTCACCTCAACTTCAGATACGAAGAAAATAGGCAACTGACAACACTTCCTTGGTCCCAGGTTACTAGGGCCTGTGCCATCTAAACACACTGTAGCCAAATTTGTTTGGTGATGGCTTTATACTTTTTAAAAATATACTGTGGGCAAAGTCACGGACACAAACATTGTGTCCACTCCTCCAAATCCATGTACTGAAGCCCTAACCCCCAGTGTGATTATACTTGGAGACCAGGTGGTTGTCTGAGAGCCAGGAAGAGCGCCCTCACCAAGAACTGAACTTGCCAGCACCTTGATCTTGGATTTCCAGCCTCCAGACTGTGAGACATAAGTTTCTATTTAAAGCCACCCTGTTTGTGGTATTTTGTTATGGCAGCTGAGCTGACTAAGGCAGGAATATAAAGATGTGGTACATATATACAACAGAGTATTACTCAGCCATAAAAAAGAGTGAAATGATGCCATTTGCAGCAACATGGATGGACCTAGAGATTATCATACTAAGTGAAGTGAGTCAGACAGAGAAAGACAAATACCATATGATATCACTCATATGTGGAATCTAAAAAAAAGGATACAAATGAGCTTATTTATGAAACAGAAATAGACTCACAGACATAGAAAACAAACTTATGGTTACCAAAGGGGAAAGGAGGGGGGGATAAATTAGGAGTCTGGGATTAACAGATACACACTACTATATACAAAATAGATAAACGACATGGACCTACTGTACTGTACAGCACAGGGAACTCTACTAAGTACTTTGTAATAACCTATAAAGGAAAAAAAATGTGAAAAAAAATAGATATATATGTATGTATAACCAAATCACTTTGCTGTATACCTGAAACTAACCCAACGTCGTAAATCAACTATACTCAATTTAAAGGAAAAAAAAAAGCATGGAAGTACCTTTCGGGCCTTTCTAACTGTGCGTTACTGCAATAGTGGGAAATATCCAAACTGATTCCAAACCACTCACCCTCCTGGCTGAAGAGGTGGAGGAGATGACCTGCGCCGGCGCTGGCGCCTGCTCTGCGGCACTACTCTTGCTTTCGGAGTTGGAACGGTTGACGATGGCTCCCGGCTTTTTATCTGTTATTTAAGACAAGAGAAGCAACAAGTACAAGTGTGAAAACCTTATCTGTGTGTATGTGTACTTTTCGGCTAACAGAAAGGGTTTACCCATTATCAAAACAGATCACTAGGGCCACGTAATGCTTGGATTCAACTACTATGAAACCTCTGGCAACCACTGTCTCTTATAAGAAAACATACTCAAGTGGAATTCCTGTCTTGACAGGAGCCAATTCTAATCCCCACATGTATAGCCGACAACCTCCTCCACACTATATGTCACATATAAAATTCATCAGTAAGTACACAGTAAGAATCTGCTCTGTTTGGAGGGCTGGGCAGGAAAAGCCAGAGAAGGTATAAGATAGACCTTGCTTTCTAGGCAGTTGCAAAAAGAAGAGACGTTAAGATGTAAAATAATCATGGTAACAACACAAGGTCAAAGACGTCCGGTGCTGAACTGGTTGATTTAAATCAGCAAGTGCTCCGGGGGTTCAGAGAAGAGGCAGCCACCAAGTAACAAGGGCTCTTGGGGTCACAACAGGAAATAAAGTCAGAGGGTCGTGTA